TTTTTTTGTTATCGAACACAACCATACACATACATACTCCCATAGTAAAAAATAATACACATATTTTGTTGTAGTGACCTACTGGTAGTCGTTACAACTATGAAACTACAGCAAAGAATAAGAGGTTTCCGTAATTTCTGCATACTTAGTTCAGTTTTTGTATTTTTTGAGTTATGACAATATTGAAGCAAATGTGTGTGCATACATACATACATACGTCATACACTATTTGGTAAACGAAAATGTCAGCACGATTAAAATTATAAGCTACTAAATTGAATATCTAATATGAAAGATTACTCACGTGTAGTTTTAATTTCAACAGCCACTTCCTCCCATAATTTTTCGAGCACAAACCTATTGTGGTGGTTGTCATTTTTTTTATCCCACAATCCGGGCCTCGCAAAAACTTCTTTTATAAGAACTTCAGTGTCCATGCTGACAAGAGCGACTAGTGAATAAAATTCCATCAACGATTTTCTTGGCTCGTATCGTTACTCTTTGTTCGCAGCTCTGCTACTACATAAACACATACATATCTACATCAGGGGCGCACCCAGGAATATATTTTAGGGGGGATTTTATATTTCTGAAGATATATCACCGGAAAATACTGAAAATATGCTTCAGATAATACCCTCTTTAAAATACATTTATGCAAGTTTTATGTACAGTATGTAATAAATAAATAAACGTTTTAAAATTCATAAACTGCACTTTATTTACAGATTTACAGAACTCAAACGATTTTAATCGACTTCAAAAAAAAGGGAGGTTATCATCTCGCCGGAATACATAACCTTGGACCACGAGAACCGTTTTCAATAATCCTTGTTTTATTAGAAAGATAGTAGCCAAGGTTCGTCCCGTAATTTGTTTTAGAGATCCGATGATTGGATCGTGAAGAAATTAACGGTACCCCTAAATTTGAATATGAGAATTGAAGTCGGTTGTGTTCTTTCCTTAAAAACTACTTGTTTAATAAAAAGTTCTATAAACTCAAGATGCGCTCAACTTTCAAAAGTACCTAATAAAAAATTTTAAAAAATAGTCAGTAAAAATAAATTTATTGATTCCATGAATTTTTGCACTTCTATGTTCATTTTTTCGATTTCTGGTTTTCGATAGAGATGGTGATTTTTCACGATTGCTAAATTTTTTTAATATTTCAAATACCGAAAAAATTAACTGAACTCTCAAGAAAAACGAAAAATTTATATAAAACGACGGACGAGAAATGGAAAAGAAATTTTCTTCTACCAAAATTTCTTAAATCAGTTTGCAGTTCTCAAGAAAGAAAATGCTCGTATATTTATTCCCTCATGAAAATTTACAGCAAAGCGCTTTTTCAAGCAACAGAAATTATAATAAATATTTCTTAGAGCTGGCTTCTTAGCTTTAAGATACAGATTGTATTTGAGGTTATTAGCTTTAGGGGGCGAGTTTGAACCCCAAAAGCAACCCCTTGTGTGCGCTAATGATCTACATACATATGTATGTAGACATAATACCGATTTACGATTTTCTCTGCTATTCTCGCAGCTCTCATCGTAGCTCTTATTGCAGTTCCCTGGTAAACACACACAAGTGTGACCAGATAAACCTTTTTGAAGCTAGTTGGCAAAATGAGGAGCTCTTGCTAATCAACACATTAAATCATTACTTTACCTTCGGGAGCTGTATTAGAATACGTTCTAATAGCTCTTCCGTTCGAAAGCAAACGAGGAGGCCTTTTTTGAGAAATGGATTTCAAGTAAATAATAAATTGGAGCAAGCATTTCGTGGTGTGTATGGTAAAAGTTAAATTGGTACTGCGTTGAGCGCGGCAGAAAAGGCCTCTTAAGACTGACGCGAAGTTTTGAGTGAAAAAATTTCAAAATAATTTTAATGGGTAGTAGCGTCGTCTTGATTTTGTAAAGTGCTGTTAAATTTTTCGGCATAAAAGTGTAAATATTTTTAACCTTTTCTAACCTAAATTTAGCTTCATGTTTTATGATCTTCTGGTCACACTTCACTTGATACATTACAAATTTCTCTATTATTATCGCAGCTCTCATCGTAGCTCTTATTGCAGCTTACACATAAACACATACACGTGATGCCTTCTCTTGCTTATCGTAACAGGTAAACGCTCAAGGTACATGTGTGTGTGTTGTATATACATATGTATGTATATACATTTGTACATATTTATTATACAGTATATTTTGCTTTGCTGCCTTAATGCTTAAGTGCATATTTAAGATACCTACCCCAAAATGCGCGTCAGAGGCATTATTTTTAACATTTATGTACACATATGAAAACTGCTCCGACAAACAAGAAATACATAAGTAAATACGGGTACAGTCTTAAACTGGCTACACACGACGAACATCTGCGCGCACATATGCGCCAACATGCTCGCTGTCGTTTGCTACAGACGACGAGCGGCTCATAAGTGATTTTGTACTCAAAGCGTAAACATGGAAAGGATAGACGCGGATGATGCAATTGCCATGCTTTTGACTTAACTTTTTTATGTATGTGTTTCTTAAATTTATTTATATTTTGCTTGTATGTACGTACATACATATACTTATAGTAATTTAGCCTCATTTATCAAAAATTCAATTAAATAACATGGCTTGGATGCATTTATCCGCCGATGTGCACACTTCAAGCATCAACACAAAATGAGGTTGTTTTTTTCGTTTCCAATGCGATGCTCGCAAACC